TAGCCTCAACTTCCTGAGCTTAAGTGACCCTCCCATCTCAGCCTCCCAAGGAGCTCAATGGAAAAGAATTCACAGAAAAATAAACAGAAAATTAGGCCAGTCATATTTTCTACTCCATTTTATGAAGTAGTAACTGAGATCCAGAGAAGAGAAGGGTTTGGCACAAAGTAGCACAATGTTTAATACCAGAATGAGGACTTGAGCCAAGGTCTTGTAACTTCTGGAAGCCCCTGGGGTTCCCCTGAGGCTTGGCTGGCAGCTGCCCAGACCCCCATAATTGGAGAGGGACCACCACACCCTGTTAATTTTTTATTTTTGTAGAGATGGGTTCTTGCCATGTTGTCCAGGCTGGTCTTGAACTCCTGGGCTCAAACAATTCTCCTTGGCCTTTCAAAGTACAGGGATTACAGGTGTGAGCTACTATGCCTGGCCAAAATGGCAGCTTTTTTTGTTTGTTCGTTTAATAGATAAGCTAATTCTCAAATTTATATATAGAGAGACAAAGGAACTAGAATAGCTAAAGTAATATTGAAAAAGAATAATAAAGTTGGAGGAAATCACACTACCCAATTTTAAGACTTATTGTGTAACAACATGATAAACAGTAATGAGGTTAGTGTGGTATTGGATGAGGGAAGGACACATGCATAGATCAAAATATGGTCCAGAAGTAGACTGACGTCATAAGGTTGTCCAACAGATTTTTGACAAAGGTGCAAAACCAATTCAACTGGGGAAGAATAATCTTTTCAATAAATGGTGTTAAAACAACTAAACTTCCATAAGTAAAAAATAAACCTTTACCTAGATCCCACACCTTTGACAAAACTTATCTCAAAAAAGATCTAAATGTAAACCAAAAAACTCTAACACTTTTAGAAGAAAACAGGGAAAAATCTTCATGACCTGCGGTTATGCTAAGAATTCTTAAACAAGACATCAAAAGCACAGTACATTTTTAAAAAGATAAACCAGTATTCATCAAAGTTCAAAATTTTAATGCTGTGAAAGATCCTGTTAAGAGGATGAAAAGGCAAGCCTCAGACTGGAGAATATATTCACATATTTGACAAAGGACTTTTATCCAAAATATATAAGGATTGGTTGGGTGTGGTGGCTCACACCTGTAATCCCAGCACTTTGGGAGGCCCAGGTGGGCGGATCACTTGAGGTCAGGAGTTCGAGACCAGCCTGGCTGACATGATGAAACCCCGTCTCTACTAAAAATACAAGAAGAATTAGCCAGGTCTTGTAGCACAAGCCTGTAATCCCAGCTACTCAGGAGGCCGAGGCAGGAGAATCGCTTGAACCCAGGAAATGGATGTTGTGGTGAGGTGAGATCATGCCACTACACTCCAGCTTAGATGACAGAGTGATATGTCTCAATAAATGAATAAATAAATAAATAAAACAAAATATATAAAGAACACCTTAAATTCAACATTAAGAAAACAAACAATCCCATTAGAAAATGAACGGAAGACTTGAACAGACACTTCATTAAAGAGGAACAGAGAACAATCTATGTTTTAAAATGTCCAGGCATAGTAGCTCAGGCCTGTAACCCCAGCAACTTGGGAAACCAAGGCAGGAGAATAGCTTGGGAAACCCAGGCAGGAGAAAACCGAGCCCAGGAGTTCAAGACCAGCCTGGGCAATATAATGAGACCCTGTGTCTACAAAAAAAAAAAAAAAAAAAAAGTTAAAAATAGTTTTTTTTAAAAGGGCATATAGGTGGCAAATAAACACATGAAAATATGTTCAACTTCATTAGTCATTAAGGAAGTGCAGATTAAAGCCACAATGAGATGCCATCTCAAGGAGCACAGGTAATGGAAAGAGATTGAAAGCTTTCAGAAAGAACAGTACATAGATCACTTAGTACATAGATTTCTAAGATCACTTGATCTTAGAAAGATCTTAGATCTCTCTGGCTACAGCATGGAGGACGTGATGGAGGGGCCCCCACTGGAGGCTGTTCCAGGGGTCTGGGCAGAAGAAGATGAAAGCCTGACCTAAGGTGGTAGCCTTGAGGATGGAGAGAAATGGGTGGATACTGCAGATGACTATTAGGTGGAACCAGCAGGACCTGGCTTTGTGAAAGGGCTGAGATAGAAGGTGTGAGAGATGACTCGAATATTTGGCTTAAACACTTGATACAATTTTATCTAGAAAGATAGAAATGTTCAATTGTGTCAAATGCTCCTGATTAAAAAAAGAAAAAGGAAAAACGAATCAGAGTCCTATAACTGGTAAAGTAAAATTTAAAATAAATAAATAATGTTAAATGTTCCTGATAAGTCAAGGGAGATGAGGATTTAGAAGTGACCATGGATTTAGTGACAATTAGTTTGAAGGTGTATAGTGGGGGCAGAACCAAGTAAGTTGCAGCTGAACAAGTCGTGAATGGAAGGTAGAGAATAATAAGGCCAAGTGGACTTCCTTTCAAGCTTTGATTTAAGAGGAAGAGAGAAGATAAGACACTTGACAAAGAGAAGCATGGAATCTATTCTCAAAGTGAGAATAATCTTATGTTTAAAAAATGTCCAGCACTCTTCTCCATACTAGCTGTGTGGTAATCCTGTGTTGTCATCTATAAAATGGATTTCTAATAGTACCTACCTCATAGGGTTATGGTGAAGGTCAAGTCTTCATAGTTCTTAACGATTGTTTCTTGTCTGTTTCCTCCACCAAACTACAAGTTCTTGAGCAACACTGACAGCTGTCAGTGCATGATGTGGTGTATTGTTAATAAATACATGTTAAACAAATTATGCTTCTAAGGCTCTGACCACAATGCACTGCCCAAGGTAAGCACCAGAGAAGTCAGCTGGGGGGTGTGATCCTGATGGGGAAGAAGAGAGCCCCACACCCTCAGTTTGCTGTTTTCCAGGCCCTGAAGAGGTTTCTCCTGACTGCCAAGGTGTGAACACAGGCATGGCGGCAGAAGTGCCAAGAGTGAGCCCTCTCCGGTAGAGTTACCCCTGCTCGAACCTGCAGCTGGAGAGCAATGACGGGCAGGTCGTGAACTCCAAACACCTCCTCCATCATTGCTTCATGGCCACAGTGACCACCAGTGACATTCCAGGCAGCCCTGAGGAAGCCTCTGCACCCAACCCTGACCCACGTGGACCAGTCCCATAAACATTCAATAAATGTCTCCACACCATCCCCTTCTGGAGTCTCTTCAGTGAAAGGTGGGAGTGGGAAGGGACTTTAGAGCCTAGCAGGATAAATGAGGGCTTTTCCTAGCAAAGATACCCAGCCCTGCTGTGGACCCTGCCATACTGCTCTGCTTGGCCTATTGTGGGCCAAAGAACTTTGACATGACTCCTAGGAAAAATGGTCAGTAACAACTCCATGCAATGAGCTATGATCACGCCACTGCACTCCAGCCTGGGCAAGACCTCATCACAAAAAAGAAGAATGAATGAATGAATGAATGAATGGTTATCAAACTGAATACAGGCTCCAGAGGGTGGGCTCTGCCACTGTGTGGCCTTGATAAAGTCCCTTGTCTTCCTAAGCCTCGGTCCCCTTGCTGGGTTATTGCAAGTGTTCAATGAGGTGATGGATTTGAACTCACTTCATAAACGTTAAAGTACTAGAAAACTTTTTTTCTTTTTGAGACGAGTCTTGCTCTGTTACTCTGTCACTCAGGCTAGAGTGCAGTGGCATGATCTCAGCTCAATGCAACCTCCACCTTCTGGGTTCAAGTGATCCTCCCACCTCAGCCTCCCAAGTAGCGGGGACTACAGGTGTGTGCCACCTTGCCTGGCTAAGTTTTGTATTTTTAGTAGAGATGGGGTTTCACCATGTTGGCCAGGCTGGTCTTGAACTCCTGGCCTCAAGTGATCTGCCTGCCTTGGCCTCCCAAGTACTGGGATTACAGATGTGAGCCACCACACCTGGCCTGCTAAAAGACTTTTTAAATTACCAACGGATGGTAACATAGTAATCCTGCTAAAAGACTTTTTAAATTACAAATGGACAATAGCAGTAAACTATGTAATACTGAAAAACTCTGGAGCCAAATGCCTGGTTAAAATCCTGCCCCTGTCACTTACTTGCTAGTTAACCTCTGTGCCTCAGTCCTCTCATCTATATAAGCTGGAATCATAGTAGTACCTTCCTCATAGAGCTTGGGGAAGGACTAAATTACTGAGTCCATGCAAGTACATAGAAAAGTGTTGGCAAATGGAAGGCACTATGTGTTAGCTATTATTATTATTTTTAACATTTTTTATTATTAATCTGATCGCAAAGGAATCTTAGGGCAAGATGCTGACTGCCAGCCCTCCCTTCTGGCTGCTCTCCTAACTGTGGCAATGGCTTTTAGGCTTCATCTTGGGAATGCATGACAAGGACTGTGGAGATGCAACTCAGCAGCCACCAAAAGCAGCTCTTGACATTTCAGACAGTGACATGACCTGCTGCTGGATTTGGCAACAGTGAAAGAGTCACTCTTAGATACCTGTGCCTGAGGCCAAGCCAAAGGGTACATGGCGGGGTGGCAAGACAGGGTGAGTCACCCACCGAAGTATTCTAGGCTGGAAGTCAAGAGATTTTGGTTCTGGTCTTGCTTCATTTGTTGTTGTTGTTGATGGTGGTGGTGGTGGTGGTGGTATGTGTGTGTGTGTGCTCTTTTATTTCAGCACTCTTCTTTTTTTTTTTTTTTTTTTTTTTTTTTGAGCCAGTCTCATTCTGTCACCCAGGCTGGAGTGCAGTGGAGACTAGCTCACTGCAGCCTCAAACTCCTGACACAAGCAATCCTTCTGCCTCAGCCTCCCAAGTAGCTGTGACTACAGGTGCGTGCCACTGTGTCCAGCTAATTTAAAAAATTTTTTTTTATCGAGACAGGTGATTGCTATGTTGCCTAGGCTGGTCTTGAACATGTTGGGATTACAGGTGTGAGCCACTGCACCCAGCCTATTTTCAGCACTCAAAACCCAGCACCCTTGTCCATTTACTGTACACTTAGTGGTGTCCATTCTATTCTAGGACCTGTGCAGGTTGCCAGAAACAAGAGGAATCAGACAGTTCTCGCCCTCAAGGGGCTCATGTGGAGGACAAGGCAGGCACACAAATGGCCAGGAGGCCCAGTGGTGGCCCTTCATGGGGCTTTAGGGAGGAAGAAATGATGTCTAAGCTGAATCATCAAAGATGACTCAAAGTTTCCAGGTGAGACAGGAACAGAAAACATTAGGGTCAGAATACAGCTTGTTCACAACAGTGAGAGAGAGCCAGTGTGGCTCAGGAACTGCAAGGTACTTGTTATAGAAAGAGCTGGCCAGGCGCAGTGGCTCATGCCTGTAATTCCAGCACTTTGGGAGGCTGAGGCAGGTGGATCATGAGATCAGGAGATCGAGACCATCCTGGCTAACACAGTGAAACCCCGTCTCTACTAAAATAAATAAATAAATAAATAATAAAAAATAAATAAATAAATAAGCCGGGCCTGGTGGCGGGCACCTGTAGTCCTAGCTACTCAGGAGGCTGAGTCAGGAGAATGGTGTGAACCCGGGAGATGGAGCTTGCAGTGAGCCGAGATCACACCACTGCACTCCAGCCTGAATGACAGAGTGAAACTCCATGAGAGAGAGAGAGAGAAAGAAAGAAAGAAAAAAAGAAAGGAAATAAAGAAAGAGAAAGAAAGAAAGAAAGAGAGAGAGAGAGAGAGAAAGAAAGGAAGCAAGCTTAGGGTACTTGTATATATGTAGTGGGGTGGGGCTGGGTGATATTGGGAGGTTTAGTCCCTGACGCTCTGTGCAACCCTTCACAGGACGAATCCCTTCTCTGTCCTTGGTATCCTTGGTGTCCTCATCAGAAAAATCCAATGTTTCTCTGAACACTTTCTGTGCTGGGCCTTACAAGGGAGACTGGGAGGTTTCAGAGAAGAATCTGATAATACCCTCGCCTTTAGGCTGCTCGCAGTCAGAAGCAGGAGATGCTGTGTGCATTCCAAACACTCAAGTGGTCATCCGCAGCCTAAGTCAGTGGTTCTCAAATCCGAGGCTGCATCAGAATCAGCTAGGTGGAGGGCTTGTTAAAACACAGAATGCTGGCCTCCCACCCCAGTGTCTGACTCAGTAGGTCAGGAGTAAGTCCCCAAAATTTGCATTTCTAACAAGTTCCAGGTGATGCTGATGATGCTGGTCTGAGACCACCCTTTGAGCACAACAGGCTCTGTAAGAACAAAGACAAGCTTTGAGGACTCAGAGCAGGAGAGGTCTGGGGAGACCGCACACTGAGCAAGGCCCTGAAGACCTGGTAGAATTTCCCCAACAGGTGGAGAAAGGGAATGTGCGTGCTGCTTTTGCTGACCTACACATCCTAGGCCTCATAAAGCTCCTCCCTGCCCCCCAGTAGCTCCTCTCCTTTGAATTCAATTAAGGCTTAGAGCCAGCTGTCACTGGGGTTGGCTAGTCTGGGTCCTGCATTAGAAACAAACTGCCCACCCTGTGTAATAGGAGCCCCTCCCCCAGGGCAGCCGCAGTGGGAAGAAGCTGGGTGGGCTGATGTGCAGACAGAAATAATCTGAGCTCACCGCTGCTCCCAAGCACACATCGACCGGCAATTATTTCTTGTAAATTGCTTTCCCGGTTATGTTCAGAACATGTGTGTGTGCCTGCCTGAGAACAAACACTCAGAGGGCACAGGGCGGAGGAGCTAGCTGGAGAGTGGGCTCCGGATGAAGGAGAGCCTGAGTGTGACTCTTCAGCCCAGAATCAGAGAATGTTGAATCTTGGAACTCAGAAACGTTAGAACATTCCACTCCCCTTTACAACTCTCCTGCTAGGTGTTTTTCCTCAGACGTTCACATTTGTTTGTCCATTCAATATTGATTGACAATGATTTTCTGCCAGAATCTTGGCTAAATGAGGTCCTGATCCCTATCTTCAAGAAGCTCATGGCTACAGGCATTTACAGAAGATCCCTAATCCAGCCAAAGACTTTGGGAAGGCCTCCTGGAGTAAGCAATAACTGGTTAAAAAGGACTCACTGACAGGTGAAAGGAGGTCTCTGGTACAAGATAAGGAACAGCATACACAAAGACCCATGGCTAAGAGAGACCATATGGTTCTTTCAGGTAACAATAAGTAGTTCAGTCTGGGTAGACACTAGATTCAAGGTGGGAATGGTGAGAGATGAAGCTGGAAGGGTAGATAAGCCAAGTCCTGAAGCCTTTACCATATTAAGGGGCTTGGTCTTTATCCCGAGGGCAAAAGGGAGCCACAGGAAAGGGTTTCAAGCATGGAAAGGAACTCAACAACACCTTTTCTGAGCACTTGCTCCCTGTTCTCTGTAAGCTGAAGTGAAATTTGCCATTCAGGATCTCTGCCTTTGGGGGCCTTTAGGTTGCAGATCCTTCAGAAGTCTAAAGGACAGTGATGGCTCATGTGTCCACAAGAAATGACTCAGGCCCTAGACATCTGTCCTCCGGTCAGGGGTAGGCCATTCTACTGCCTGACTTGTGACACTGCTCCTCCTGGTCTGTGCCTGTTGGCTCAGGGGCCAGGGCACAAGGCAGCCAAAGCCAGGCTGCAGGCCACAGCCCAGGAGAGCTCCATGCCTTGCTTAGTCCCAGAACCCTGGGTCCCACCTGGGAAGTCTCGTGTGTGGGACACTCACAGAGGTGTGAAGGGCTCCTTGCATACCTTCTCCATCCCTCATAGGATCAAGGCCACCCAGAGCAGATGACCCACTCCGAGAGAGTTGACTGAAGACACACTGTGGGCCCACCACTGTGACAAGCCCTTAGAATAGAATACGGCCAGGCATGGTGGCTCACGGCTATAATCCCAGCACTTTGGGAGGCCGAGGAGGGTGGATAACCTGAGATCAGGAGTTCCAGACCAGCCTGACCAAATGGTGAAACCCCATCTCTACTAAAAATACAAAAATTAGCCAGGCATGGTGGCGGGTGCCTGTAATCCCAGCTACCCAGGAGGCTGAGGCAGGAGAATCGCTTGAACCCAGGAGGAGGAGTTTGCAGTAATCTGAGATTGTGCTAGTGCACTCCAGCCTGAGTGACAGAGCAAGACTCCGTCTCAAAAAAAATCCTGCAACCCGCCCTTCAGACCTTACTTACTAGAGATGAAGAGTAGGTTTGACCCATGAAACACCTAGAGAACAGTCAGAGAGAGATCCCAAACAAATGCCAATATATGGGGTAAGGACCATTAGAGTTGCAAAGATTCTAAGGAGGGAGAAAAGAAACAGTCTGGAAGCCTTCACGGAGGAAGTGGGGGTTGAACTTGACCTTGAGGGACCATGTCAATACTTGAAGGGTCTCATCCAGTTAGAGGACGCATGCTATCATATCGACATTTTATTTTATTTTATTTTGAGACAGAGTCTCGCTCTGTTGCCCAGGCTGGAGTGCAATGTCTCAATCTCAGCTCACTGCAACCTCCACCTCCCAGGTTCAAGTGATTCTCCTGCCTCAGCCTCATGAGTAGCTGGGATTACAGGCACCTGCCAACATGCCTGGCTTGTTTTTTTTTTTTTTTTTTTTTTAAATAAAGATAGGGTTTTACCATGTTGGCCAGGTTGGTCTTGAATTCTTGACCTCCGGTAATCTGTCACTTTGGTCTCCCAAAGCGCTGGGATTACAGGTGTGAGCCACAGTGCCCCGCAGACTTTATATTTTAAAGAGAGTACCCCTTAGGGCCCCGAGGGCTCTGGACGAGTAGATCTCTCTAGCCCCACCTTCAGCCATAGTCCCCTAACCAACACACTATCTTTTGTGTGCCAGGTCTTGTCCTGGGCTCTAGGAACAAAGAAATGAATCAGTCATAATTCCTGCCCTCAGGGAATTCTCAGGCTACTGGAGGAAGACTGCTACGTTAAATAGACAGTTATATACAGTGTGGAAAGTGTTATGGTTTGTTTATTCAAGCACAGGGCAAAATCACTGCTTGTCTAGCCCAGAGGGCTGCTGTCGTGCAGCCAGCCTTATCTCCAAGGAGACTTTTCTCCGGGAAGGAGGGAGCTTCATTGTGAAACCTTCATCTTCTAAACCTCCAGCTCCGGGCTCTCAGACCCCGCCTTCTCTCCTGGCTGCGGTGCGTTACCATGGAAGCCGTAAGCCCCTCGCAGCTCCCTGCGGTTCCACACCCCTCCCCCTTCGCCATCTCTCTTAGCTCTTTGTCGTGTGGCTGCAGATGTCCTCCCGGGCTGATCAACTCCCGAACTTTCCCCAAGGTGGGAATTATTATCCCCATTTGAAATAGGGAAAAACTGAGACCCAGAGGTGTGAGGGATTTGCCCCAGGCCCCTCGCAGCCCTTTACTGGCAGAATCCCAAGCACAGGTTCCCTCCAAGCACCACCTCCGCCCTCCCCGCAACCACCCCTCTATGTGGCCTTCATTATGCTCTCCTATCCGCCGAAGCTTATGTTTCCTTTTTTTCTTCTTTCCGTATCTTTGGTAGTTTAACTTTTTATTCTGAGAAAATCAGAACATGTGGCTGGGCGCGGTGGCTCACGCCTGTAATCCCAACACTTTGGGAGGCCGAGATGGGTGGATCACCGAGGTCATGATTTTGGGACCAGCCTGGCCAACATGGTGAAATCCAGTCTCTACTAAATATACAAAAATTAGCCGGGCATGGTGGCGCATGCCTGTGATCCCAGCTACTTGGGAAGCTGAGGCAGGAGACTAGCTTGAACCTGGGAGGCGGAGATTGCAGTGAGCTGAGACTGCGCCATTGCACTCCAGCCTGGACAAGAAGAGCGAAACTCTGTCTAAAAAAAAAAAAGAAAGAAAGAAAAAAAGAAAATCAGAACATGTGCTGACTAACCCTTGAAGTAACTTGAAGTTCAGTCTTTACATTAGTGACTTTAAATCTATTCTTGGATATGTTGTTTAAGTCCTTTGTGAACTGAAAATAGTGCTGGATGGTAAAACCTGCCAAAAAGCTATCGCAGAATGTACCAGCCCTGATTATGCTGATGCAACAATGATAGTCATGTTTTTGAGCATTGCAATATGCCAAAATGCATTCTGAAAAACTATACGTGACCGTGCAGAATTTACGCAACACAGAATTTGAACATACACCAAATAGATGTGTTTACATAACTACAGAAGACAAGGGTATGAAAACCTTGGCATATGGGAAATAGAATTTGTCCTGCAAGACCAGCCCATTTTATTTATTTTTTTTATTTTAATCTTTATTCTTTTTTTTTTTTTTTTTTTTTTTTTGAGACAGAGTCTCGCTGTGTCTCCCAGGGTGGAGTGCAGTGGCATGATTTTGGCTCACTGCAAGCTCCACCTCCTGGGTTCACGCCATTCTCCTGCCTCAGCCTCCCGAGTAGCTGGGACTACAGGCGCCCGCCACCACGCCCGGCTAGTTTTTTGTATTTTTAGTAGAGACGGTGTTTCACCATGTTAGCCAGGATGGTCTCGATCTCCTGACCTCGTGATCCGCCCGCCTCAGCCTCCCAAAATGCTGGGATTACAGGCATCTGGGCTATTTTTATTCTAAGACAGGCTCTTGCTCTGTGCCCAGTCTGGAGTTCTGTGGTGCAATCACAGCTCACTGCAGTCTCGACCTCCCCGGCATAAGTGATCCTCCTGCCTCAGCCTCCCGAGTAGCTGGGACTACAGACACACACCCGCATGCCTAGCTAATATTTGTATTTTTAGTAGAGATGAGGTTTTGCCAAGTTGCCCAGGCTGGTCTCGAACTCCCAGGCTCAAGCAATCCGCCAGCCAGCCCATTTTGATCTTCTGCACAATACTTAAGCTGAAGGTGTGATACCGCCCACCCCTATGTGATGTCTGTACAGATACGAAAGGACTTTGGAAGTTGCGATGTGCTTAACAGATGTTATTTATTGTTATTAAATGAAAGTTGGGGAAAGATCGCCTAAATTTCTTCCCAAGGGGCTCCATTGTCAGATTGTTCAATTCTGAAATTTTCTATTGTTAACATATGTGATGCTAAAGGTCTGTGATTCTGGAATCCTGAGCCTGATTCTAATCCTGTGAAGCCAGAATCCTGTGAATCTGACATTCTCTGACTCTATCCAAGTGGGAGGTCAAGCTCTGAAGGCCAGGGCAGGGTGGGGACAGAGGTCAGCAGGAGGATCCCAGTCCCCTAGGGAGGAGCAGTTGTCCCCGATGTCTTCTACCTGGGCTCACCCTTGGAGCTACAGCCTGATTATCATTCAGACTTATCATCAGCTCATCACCCTTCCTCCAGCCTTCCTTGGGGCCTCATTGTATGCATTATCCATATTCATTACACATTTTTCTTCCATTAAGTCAAATTAAGCCACTTTGCCAACACTGCAGGAACCAAAACCTCCCTAGATAAGTGTGGGCCCATTAGGGGCACCAGAGGAGGCCCTAAGTTAGGATAGCTCTACCCGTCCCCTCCTCCCTCCCATCCTGCTTCTCAAGCACCATCCCCCCAACTTTCCTGTACCCCAGATCACATGGTAGCCGCAGAAGCACTCCTTTCTGCGAGTTCTGGTACATGGTGTTCCCTCCCTAATGGCCTCACAGGCAGCTGCTGACTCACCCCAGGTTGCTAATGCACCAGGTAGCCATGTATTCAGACGGAGCTACTTCATAAAATGTAGCACCATGTGCATGTGTGAGCTCACATGTGTGAATACGACCAGAGCACCGGCCCTGGGCTGTGGACTTGAGACCACAATTCTAGGCCGCCACTATTTACAGGGTTACCTTAAGCTAGTGCCTTCCTCTCTGTCTCAAGAGAATATCCCAGCCCTTCCGGCCTCACCAGGTTGTTTGGAGACTTACCAACAAATGTGTTAATAATAGTGTTCTACAATGTGTTGTGAAGTGAAGTGAAGGGATTTAAATGCAGTGTACCAGCTGGGAGCGGTGGCTCACGCCTGTAATCCCAACACTTTGGACGACTGAGGCGGGCGCATCACTTGAGGTCAGGAGTTCAAGACCAGCCTGGACAACATGATGAAACCCTGCCTCCTCTAAAAATACAAAAATAAGCTGGGCGTGGTGGTGGGCGCCTGTAGTCCCAGCTACTGGGAGGCTGAGGCAGGAGAATCACTTGAACCCAGGAGGCGGAGGTTGCGGTGAGCCAAGATCACGCCACTGTACTCCAGCCTGGGCAACAGAGTAAGATTTTGTCTCAAATTAATTAATTAATTAAATGCAGTGTACCACCAAGATGTCCATGTCCAGCCCCATAGCACCACCTGCTGTGTGACCTTAGGCAGATCATTTTACTTCTCTGAACTTTTGTTTTTGTGCACACGCGCGCACACGTGTGTGTGTGTGTGTGGTGTGTGTGTCTATAGTTTTTTGAGTGCTTACTATATGCTGGGCATTGTGTCTGGCATGTTATGGGGTTTACTCTGTACCAGTCAGGATTCTCAGTTGTAAACAACAGAAACCACCTCTGGCAAAATTAAGCAAAAAGAGACTTTACTGGAAGGCTATTGGATGTCTCACTGAAATGACAGGGAGACCACAAAGCTAGACGAGAATCAAGGGTAGCTGGGCACAACCAAAGTCCTGCCATGGTAAGTATGTATTTAGGACAGACTCTGCCTCTAGCCACACAGATACTTGCTGGTCACCACTGCACTGCTAGGCTCTAGCCGCACTGCAGCCACCTGAAGTAATCTCTGACTGTTCTTGCCCCTCTGCTAACTGCCACCAGACTCAGAGCCCATGTAGGGCGTCGAGTTGGCCAGTCACAAGCCCACAAGGGTCAGGAGGAGTTGCTGCCTCCTTCAGCTCCCACATAGCTTGGAATTCCTCCAAATAGGGAGTGTTTGGATGCTGGGTGGCCCAGAGCAATCAATGTCCACTATAGCCTTCACCAATCTTGAGTCTGGTAATATTACATTTTACAGGTGAAGAGACTGAGGCTCTGAAAGGTTTATGTACTGGTCACCCAGCTAGTATAGGTGCACGAACACCTGCCTTGCAGGAACGGAAGAAGTAAATGGACGTAATTAGTTGGCACGAGTTCATTCCTCTTTTCCCCTCAGTAATAGCTCTTGCTGGGAATGTTTGCTCCGCCATGGGGAAGTCTTTCAAACATTTGTTCACATTCTCTATGACCCTACAGCTGGTTCCTAACTTCCTGGCAACAACCACAATTGTAATTCATTCCAGGAGATTGACTGTCGTGGAGACAGATCATCACCCTCATTACCACCATCATCATCATTGTCATCGTCATCATTATGTTGCTTTTAGCTCACTGGAGCCTCATAGAATGCTGTGAGGTAGGTATTACCTCAGTTTACCAAATGAGAAAACTGGGGCTCAGAGGGGGTTTCATGGCTGTCCCAGACTTACAAAGCCAGTCAGAGCCAGAATCATATCTAAATCTTCTGTCTCCAGAATCCATTCTTTCACATGGCCTCTATATCAAAGAAGCAGGCCAAAAGCAGGACATCCAGCATTTGACATAGACATGGACCATCGAGGCAGGGAGATCCTAGCCCCTTTGCATCCTTTCTACTTTTCCACTGATAGGAAAGCTGAGTTCTAGAGAGAAATGCCCTACCCAACCTCACACAGTGCCATCGATGAAGCCTCCGTGGTTTGAATACAGTTCTCTTGCCACCCAGTTTAGTAAGCATTCCCCACACCATTATGGAGCTCATTTTAAAGCTGAAGTAACTGAGATGGTCACCCCAGGAGTAAATGGCCCACCCAGCTGTTGGGGTGAGTACCTAGCTAATGTGTGGGCCCAGAAGAAAGGCCATGGCAGCAGAGTGACTGGGAGGTAGCAGGCTTTGCACGTCCAGAAAATTCTGTTCTCTTAAAATCAAGAAATGCCTCCACATTTTAAGAGGCAGTTATCCTCTCCTGGTTGCAATTGATTGCAACAGACTTCAATTTGTGGGTTATTGGAATAGCTGGGGGAAGTCTGAAGGTAATTAGACCTGGATAGACCAAACATGTGTAGCCCAAAGAACTGAACAGTCTATGATTAGCGCCCTGATCTGAGGCCCACAGGTAGGTACTGGGAAATTTCCATGCACTTTGGCCTTTGAGGCAGCCTTCCCATCTGAAAATGCCCCCCAACCCTCCCTGACTCCTTCCAGTGTCAGCTCAGACAGTATTCCTCTAGGAAATTGATTTTGACTCCCAAGCTGAGTTGGGATCTCCTCTGGTCTCCCACAGCTTCTCTGTGTCATAGCCCCGATCATACTGAGTTGTCATTTTCTATGTGTCCATTTCCCCATTATGGACTTTAATTCCAGGGCACGGACAGATCTGCCATAGAGGAGGCCTCAGCAAATGTCAGCTACACGAATGAGTGTGTGAAGCAAAGAAGCAGTGAACGTCTAGGAGACCAGCCCTTACCCCAACTCCTCCCCATCTGTTCCTACTCTGAACTCCAGTCTCTGCCCTACCCCAGCTCTTGAATTTAGCCTTTGGATCAGGTTCTTCTGGTAATGAAGCCTCACCTTTCCCCCGACTAACTCTGATCTGGCCTCCCCTGCTCCTGATTAACCTCAGGGATCCTGAATCTCCTTCAGCCTAACAGCTCCAGAAGCTGAACTCCAGCCCTAAGAGCTTCAGCTGCAGACAGGCCTCTGGCCAGGAGCTTAGTCAGGCTACCCTGACTAAGCCACAGGGTTGACATGCCCTCTGGGCAGACCCTGAACCGGGCACTGAAGACACAGGAATGGACAAGGTAGTCTACCCGAGTCCTGAGCCTGCAAGGCAGTTGAGACAGATCTCGAAGGAGAGTGGGCACAGTCAGAAAGGAAGAAGTGGTTCAGTATGAAATAAAAGTGACACAAGCCCATGTACCAGCAGCCAATTGGATCTTTTGTTTGTTTGTTTGTTTTTGAGATGGGGCCTCTCTTATTGCCCAGGTTGGTCTTGAACTCCTGAGCTCGAGCGATCCTCCCACCTTGGCCTCCCAAAGTGCTGGGATTACAGGTGTGAACCACCAATTGGATCTTTACTGAACCCTTACAGGGCACTGAGCCACTAAGCTAGGGAATGTTGGAGATTCAGAGGCTGAATCAGATAGCAGCCCAACCCTGAGATACAACTGAGCTACAGGCAAGAGGATACTACCGGGCGTGGTGGCTCACACCTATAATCCCAGCACTTTGGGAGGCCAAGGCAGGCGGATCATGTGAGGCCAGAAGTTCGAGAATAGTCTGGCCAACACGGTGAAACCCTGTCTCTATTAAAAATACAAAAGGTGGCACATGCCTGTAAACCTAGCTACTTGAGAGGCTGAGACACGAGAATCACTTGAACCTGGGAGGTGAAGGTTGCAGTGAGCTGTGATCATGCGACTGCACCCCAGCCTGGGTGACAGAGCAAGACTCTGTCTCAAAAAAAAAGAAAAAAAAAAAAAAAAGCAAGAGATGCTAGAACATATGGAAGGTGGTGTTCTTTTGAAAAAATAAAAATAAAAAAAGCAAGGTAGGGACAAAGTGAAGCCTAGAATGATACAAACAGTGCAGAACATAGTGACCTGCACAGCTACATTTGTGTATTCCCAGTTACATCAACATTCTAGAATATCCTCATATTCTGACACACTAGTGTTCCAGTAGACCATGTTCTGTCATGTTGCCATTCCATTCTGGGGAGCATTCCATCCCACCAACATTCCTCTCTCTGCCATTCCAATGTTCCATCCCACCAACATTGCTCCATGCCATCACTGCAACATTTTAAAACATCAGCACTACAAGTGAAACTTTCAAGCTTCTAACTAAAAGCATTTATTTATTTCTTGGCTCACCTATACCATAGGCTCTTAATATTTGGGGGGAATGCAGACTTCTCTGAGAAACTATTAAAATTTATGGCTCCTTCTCCCTAGAAAAATATGTTTATACACATAAATTTTACATATCATTCTATATATTCAGTGACTCATGGCAGAGTCCATAGACTCTAAAAACTGTTTAATTTTACCCTGCCTTGATCCAGAAAGACATTTAAAATAAAATAAGATTGGCTAGGTGTGGTGGCTCACGCCTATAATCCCAGCACTTTTGGAGGCCGAGGTGGGTGGATCACTCAAGGTCAGGAGTTCGAAACCAGCCTGGCCAACATGGGGAAACCCCATCTCTGCTAAAAATCCCAAAAATAAAATAAAAAAAAAAAAAGGGCCGGGCGTAGTGGCTCACACCTGTAATCCCAGCACTTTGGGAGGCCGAGGCAGGCGGATCACAAGGTTAACTGGCTAACAGGGTGAAACCCCATCTCTACTAAAAATACAAAAAATTAGCCGGGTGTGGTGGCGGGGGCCTGTAGTCCCAGCTACTTGGGAGGCTGAGACAGGAGAATGGCGTGAACCTGGGAGACGGAGCTTGCAGTGAGCTGAGATCTGGCCACTGCACTCCAGCCTGGGCTACAAAGCGAGACTCTGTCTCAAAAAAAAAAAAAAAAAAAAAAAAAAAAAATGTAGGCGGGTTTGGTGGTGCGCGCCTGTAATCCCAGCTACTCCGGAGGCTGAGGTGGGAGAATCACTTGAACCTGGGAGGTGGAGCTTGCAGTGAGCTGAGATCGTGCCACTGCACTCCAGCCTGGGTGACAGAGCAAGATTTCGTCTCAAAAATAAAATAAAATAATAAAATAAATAAAATAAAATAAGATCGTTAAATTTAAGAGAGGGCAAGGTAAAATTGAAGAAAAAAAAAAAGGTAGGGAAAAAGTGGAGCCTGGAATGATACAAAAAGTACGGAACATAGTGACCTACGCAGCTAAATTTGTGTCATACATACTTGGTTCTATGACTTCCAGCAGCCAAGGCAAAAAGGGAAACCTGTTCACTCACACGGTTCACAGTGTTCACAGGATAAAAACAAACCACTTACTCCTTAGAGGATATACAACTATTCTTGGTATGTAGACCAGACAAGAATTTCTCCTGAGAGCCTCATAAAGAATGATATAATAGACCATGGCATCAACAGAGCCCTCACAATAGATACAGAGATGTATTTTGTGGTAGAGTGACCAACTTGTCCTGGTTTGCCTGGGACTTTCTTGGTTTTAACCCTGAAAGTCTCAATCCCAGGAAACTCTTTAGTCACAGGCAAATCAAGAAGGTTGGTCACCTTATCTATGAGTTACAGTTCAGTCAAAACTTATCTAGGGGCCGGGTGTGGTGGCTCACGCCTGTAATCCCAGCACTTTGGGAGGCCGAGGTGGGCAAATCACCTGAGGCCAGGAGTTCAAGACCAGCTTGACCAACATGGAGAAACCCCATCTCTACTAAAAATACCAAATTACCCGGGCATGGTGGCACATGCCTGTAGTCCCAGCTACTCAGGAGGCTGAGGCATGAGAACTCCTTGAACCTGGTAGGCAAAGGTTGTGGTGAGCCAGGATCATGCCATTGCACTCCAGCCTGGGCAACAAGAGTGAAACTTCATCTCAAAAAAAAAAAGGTATAATCAGAATTATCCTTGGAAACCTTTTTTATCAATCCTAAAGTGTAGAACCATCTCCCAATAGCATAGCCAAGTTTTCCTCTAGCAATGGAACAGATTGCTGTTTCTTTGGTGGGTAACTGATAAAGAGACTGACTTGCTTGGGGGCTTACACACTAGACCCATACTTAGTATGGTGACATGCACACACACTGAAGATTTATGAGGCACCTGGGAACTGAGACCAACGAGGGGAACGGCAGATTTACTCTTTCATGACACATTTGGGGCATATGGTATGTGAGTAAAATAATATTTAATATAGTATTACTCTTCCTCTTTCCATTTCTAGTTTTTCCACAGCAAGTATAATTGAGTTTGTGTAAATTAAATAGAAATAGTACCTATCTCATAGAGTTGTAACAATTAAAAGACCTAGGTTTTTGTGTTTTGTTTTGTTTTGTTTTGTTTTTGAGATGGAGTTGTGCTCTGTCACCCAGGCTAGAGTGCAGTGGCGCGATCTTGGCTCACTGCAACCTCTGCCTCCTGGGTTCAAGCGATTCTCCTGCCTCAGCCTCTCGAATAGCTGGGACCACAGGCTCCCACCACCATGCCCGGCTAATATTTGTATTTTTAGTAGAGACAGGGTTTCACCATGTTGGCCAGGCTGGTCTCGAACTCCTGATCTCAGATGGTCCGCCTGCCTTGGCCTCCCAAAGTGCTGAAATTACAGGCGTGAGCCACCATACCCGGCCAAAAGAGTTTATAAAGCACTCAAAACAGTTCCTGATCCAGGGTAAGCTCTCTGTGAGTGTTTGCTCTTACAGAGAGCAAATCTATTTAACGTAGATATGGTGACACTCTACTGTATTTTCTACAAAATCTTGCATGTAATCCTTGATGGCAATTTGGGAAAAATGCCTTCTGTGGCAGGGATGAGGTTTAGCGCACCAGCCCTTTTAAGTTGCAAATGCATGCAGAAGATATATATTTGAGATGGGGTCTCACTCTGTCCTTGCTCAGACTGGAGTGCAGATGGCTCAATGCAGCCTCGACCTCTCAGGCTCAGGTGATCCTCTCACCTCAGCCTTCCAAGGAGCTGGGACTACAGGCACGCACCACCACACCTGGCTAATTTTTGTATTTTTTGTAGAGACAGCGTTTTGCTATGTTGCCCAGGCTGGTCTCGAACTCCTGGGCTCAAGTCATCCACCTGCCTCAGCCTCCCAAAATGCTGGGATCATAGGGGTGAGCCACCTCACCTGCCTGGGAATTTTTTTTTTTTTTTTTGTGAGACAGAGTTTAGCTCTTGTTGCCCAGGCTGGAGTGCAATGGTGCAATCTTGGCTCACCGCAACCTCTGCCTCCGGGTTCAAGTGGTTCTCCTGCCTCAGCCTCCTGAGAGCTGGGATTACAGGCATGCACCACCACACCCGGCTAATTTTGTATTTTTAGTAGAGACGGAGTTTCTCCGTGTTAGTCAGACTGGTCTCAAACTCCCGACCTCAGGTGATTTGCCTGCCTTGGCCTCCCAAATTGCTGGGATTACGGGTGTGAGCCACCGTGCCTGGCCGGCTGAGATATTTTTTAAACTTATAGAGGAGCTGAAGGACTGCCTGCCTTCAACCACTTCTCAGAAGTGGCAGTGAACATTCCCTGGTGAGGGCCTGGCCCCTTTCACTCCATGCTTTGGCTTAGAAAATTCCCAAACTCCACCCAGAGAGCAACACCACATGTCCAGAATGCACACCCTGTTCCCATGCAGTCTGCTCTGGCCTCTTAAGGCAGGAAGTCCTCGCTGGCTGGGATCTGTCTGGAGGCCTGGCATGAGTACTGAACTGTGTGTCACAAAGTCTACCACACAGACCAACCAACAAACCATTGAATTTGAAAGCACTTTGTACACTGTGAAGTGCTGTGCAGATGTGAGAGACGTGAGTTAGGATATAGTGCTGCTGAGTTCAGAGTCCAGAACTTGGGCAGTGCCTGCAGGGATGGAGAGGGAGCAAACAGGAAATTAATTCAGAAGGCCTAGAGTGGAACATACTTGATATTTGATTATGATGCAGCCAACAATTGGTAAGAAATCCTAAGATGTCTAGGTCCCTGCATCCTCCTCCAGCCAGAACACACATTTCTTACAGGTTTAGAACCTCAGAGCTGAAAGAAACAATTAATTGATTAACTTAACAAAAACTCACCAGATGCCTGCTCTAGTGTAAGCACTGGGCATGACGATCATGAAGTCTGACCTAACTCCCATAGCAGAATCTCCTGCTCCACCACCCAATAGCTCTGTGATCAACAAGTCACTTACCTCTTCTAAGGCTCAGTTTACCTGTCTGTTAAATGGGAATAATGTAAAATAATAATAATACCTCCATCATAGGATTGTTCTGAGGATTAAATAATAACTAAATCATATATGGTACTTAGTATATGTCAGACACTGTTCTAGGTG